ACAACCTGTTCCATCATTAAACAATTTTTAGGGCATTAAGTCTAGACTTTATGCATGTCCCGAATTAGCTCATATGATGATTGACTAAACATTGTACGTAACAGTGAAAATTATTTCCAGTAATCACGTGTAAGTATTTACTGTATTATGAGAGCAGAATTATTACGTATGAAATGCATGCTATTTTTGAATAACGGCCCATGCCCGTTAGTTATTTCGAGAATTTACGATGCTTCGTTCTAGATATCATTCTAGATATCATTCTAGATATCATTCTAGATACCATTCCAATTAAGGAAATTTAATATGTCGATATATAATTATAACAAAAATATTTTAATAATATATTTTAATAATATTTAATACTGTAACATCAAATAAAAACTTTTAAAGTGACGTGTGATAATTGCTTGGTACTCACCAGATTCCAATAACCTAGTCTACATCAATTGTTGAGTCAGGAGATTAACTATTTGAATGATTTGTGATACAAGTTAACTGGCCACATCTATTAATCAAAATACAAATGTTTATACTATAAAATTCACGATTGATTTATGAAACTTGCCTTCATGTTAATACGCGTAGTATGTGGATAACTATTTTCAAAAAGTTATAAAATCAGCCTACAAACAACTTTTGTTCGCTGCATTGCTCAAAAAAAAAGAAATTTACTTCATTTAATTCAAATAAAAACGATAATGTCGCACCTTAAGCACTTAATTTTGTTAGTTCTCACCTTATCTTTTCTAGTTCTTAACGCCTATCCATTCGAAAGCCATGACTTCGATGGTACTGAATTAGCCGACCTTTCCCCGGGTCCTCAAAGTAACGATGCACTTTCCTATTTGTCGACAGAATCGACGGACTTGAAAGGAGTTCCTACTGTTTCAGCTGAAGAATTCAAACCTCAACTCGAAAAGCTTGTCAAAACTTCTGATCATCTTTTCGGCCCGACAAGTCGTAAATTTAAAGTCATGATGCTACCAATGACTAAAGGATATCATTACATTTATAAAGTCATGGTTTTCCCCAAATCTGAAGGGGGCAAACCTAAAGTTTATGATGTTTACGTGACTCCTCTAGCTAAGAAGAAATGCTTCAAGATTGTTTCTATTCCTCGCGACGCACCTAGTGATTGGAAAGAAGCTACTGTTTGTATTCCATACTCTTTTAATTAGTTAATGTTGACATGGGTATAGTGAATATGAATTGTTTGGTTTGTAATCTTTAAAAGAAATATAATTTTAAATAGTATAACACTAAAATATATTATGTATAAAATGATATTTTTGTATCAATAAAAAAAATTGGAAGTGTAGAATAATAAAATAATTATCTATTGCGTTAAAAGTTCATAAAATAATTATCTATTGTGTTAAAAATTCATAATCATTATCATATCAGTACTTTGCACGGAAAAATAACAGATAACTTGTAATTTGAGATGTGTTCTAAGTTATCAATTTAGTTTTTCTTCCTGGATTTGATTTAGTATGACAGTGTGAACTTTAGGTGGCATGATTATACAGTAATCCTATTGTACATGTAATCGTCATAGGGCCTGCCAACCTATATTAAAGGTCAACCTTTTTTGTTTGTAAATATAAAAAGTTTCAGTAATTTAAATATATACGTATTTACGATAGTTTTTTTTTGTTTTTGGGTTGTAAAGTGTATGAAGTGGACCGTTATAAATATTACAGATTTAAATAGAAACCTAATTTTAGCATCAATAATTACGGTAAGAGTCAATATAAGCAAAGTTGCCTTTTCAACACAGTTTTCATTAGTGCTCGAAATAGTTATAACCATTCGTTTCTCGTATTTAAAATTTGGGCGACGGTATGTAAAAATAAAAATCCCCGAGTCGGGGAATACCTTTTAGGTAACGAGATTAATAGTAATCAATAATGGATAATTTGAACTTGTCTAATAAACGATTTTTATACTTAAAATACTCAAACAATAATTTAGTTTTTTTTTCAAGTGTAGGCTATTTATTATTGTAAAAGTGTGGTTATTGTTACTGTAATGTTCCTCAGACCCGAACCAGTACAAAGCTGACGGATCGGGTCTTATTAATTCAATTCTAAACATTCTTTATAATGGGGTTTCAGAATTAACTTATTTCACAAATAAATGGGGTTTAAAAGATCCTACTTCTGTTTTAAAATTCTGACTCAAGGAATTAAATAAGCTACACTAGCTTTTTTTGGTAAATATTTACCAAATAAGTTTATACGTTAAGAAAAATACATAGCGATAGGATCTATGGATCACATGTTTCGACGTAAATACAACACTTATTTTATCTGAAACGGATGCCAAATCATTAATCTGAAACCCCAAATATTTACAAAAATTTTTGTCGCCTCATTCAAAAATTATGAATGTATGGAAGCTTTGGTTTGATGAAAAGTATCTCATGAAAATTTCCTTTTTCCCGTTTCTTTATTAATTTCTGCATTGTTTTTTCCTTGTGAATTCCAAGTATCTTTTGTATCTTTTGAATTCACTTAAGATATTCACGCGTTCAAATAACCCTTCACAAAATTTCACAAATTTTAGTGATATTATTTCTTGTGGGAGATGATGCCGTGAAGCAAATGCATTTGATTGGTTAGGGTTAGGGTTATTAGTCAATAGGATTTTTATGTTACACATTTCAGCATCATCCCCAACATTTCTTATCGTTATGAATATACATTAGTTGATTTTCGGTTAGTGGCATTGGACTCTAAGATATCGGGTATTGACTGGGATTATTCGCATTATTTACATATCATCGTCTTTTTATATAATGTTATCTTAGTTGGATTTAGAGTTAGGGTTAATAGGCAACATTGCACCAAATTTTGCAAGGAACTTTCTTTTGTTAGTACGCAAAAGTTTGATGTCTTAGGAGAAATTTGAGATTAATGTGACATTTCAAAAAATAGCGATTATTTTTTGGGGAAAGCTACGAGCATAAAACCTGCAAGTAAAAAAAATTGAGTTTCTCCGTATCGGACTTAACATAAATCAACATATAAAATTACATTACGTTTAATATGCATATCGGCTGATCTGTACAGTCTAATAAATATTTATTATTAAACCTTGCAAATCAGCCTATATCATATATGAATTTGTACGTACGTACGTACGTAAAAAAAAGTGGTTTCGCTATGTTACACCTGATCTTAAAGTTTTAAAATCACAGGAAGGAAAATTTTGGGCAGGGAACTCCAAGAATTTGGTTATCAAATCATTTGGGTATCATTTGGTTATCAAATCGCAAAAATTTATTTGGGCAGAAGTTTAAATGGAAATGTTATAGAAACCCAATCTTTATGAAAGCACCAATAAATATGTTTAGATTATATAATATAAAATACATAGTTTTTTATCTTGTATAACTTTGCAAAAATTTGGTTTCACACTATACTAGAATGTATATGTTGTGCATGAAATTAGAACGGCATCAGATTGGAACTTGAATCGGAGATGCGCAAGGTCAAAATAGAAGGTTTGCATTGAACTAAATTCGGATTCTTAAATTTATAACATGTTGGATTAAATTCTTCAGTTTTTTTAGAGCAAGTTTTAGATTTAAAAGCCGATGCCAAAGTCTAGTTTTTCTTGGGCGTCACTCGTTCTGCATTATACATGTGACCAAAATATTTCGTTATATTGTAACTAGTTTTGAATAGATCAAAATATTTTCTGCAGTAAATACTCTAATTACAATAATAATTTAATAAAATACCGTTATTACATACGCATAATTCGTTTACTTCCACCCCACGACAAATTTTACAATGATATTATAAGCATGCTAACATTCTTTTTTAGCGTTGCTTCTTTGACTGTTTAAATATTATCTAATTTTAAGTATTTAATCTATAACGCAAAATAGTGAAATGAATTTTAACTCTTATAAATTTGAGTAATGAGTGCTTTTCTTTCTTATTCGATGCCAAAATTTGACATCTTGGCATAAACAGTTTACGCATATTGGATGAATATTTCTACAGTTTAACTCGGCACGAAATACGCATTAACCTGTATTTGATTTTAATTATTATTACACTTATTATACACATCGCATAAATGATAAGGCCACATAAATTTAATATATTGGTTTTCATAACATGAAACTTTTAAACAGACCCGGCCGGCCGGCTTTTTTTTTT